AGAGAGAGACAAAGAGACAGAGAGAGTCAGAGACAGAGAGAGACAGAGACAGAGAGAAAGAGTCAGAGAGAGACAGAGAGACAGACAGAGAGAGACAGAGACAGAGACAGACAGACAGAGAGAGACAGAGAGATACAAAGAGAGACAGAGAGAGAGACAGAGAGAGATAGAGAGAGAGAAAGACAGAGAGAGAGAGATACTGAGTTGAGACTGGGGGCTGAACCAAGAACCTTCCCACTGAAACACATCTCCAAGCCTTTAGGATTATTTTAATTTTTTCAAATTCTGAGACACATCTCACTGAGTCACTGAATTGTCTGTGATGGCCTGTTTCTGCCCCTCCTGCCTCACTTCCCACGGTGCTGGGATGGCGAAGGAGCCACCGTGCCCAGCTTCTTTCCTCCAGCAGGACACTGCAGGTTTCCTCCCCCCCTCCCTCCCTCCCCTCCTCCTTCCTCTGTGCCCTAGTGCTGGGGACAGCACTCTGGGCTTCCCACATGCTGTGCAAGCACCCCACCACTGAGCTGCCTCCTCGCTCTTTCTTCCTTTGTTTGTTTGTTGTTTAGACAGGGACTCATTTAAATTGCTCAGAGAAGCCTTGAACTTGGGATCCTCCTACCTCAGCCTCTGGAGTAACTGGGATTACAGATGCATACCACCTCCCCAGGCTAGATTTCTTTTCTCTTCATCGGTTGTTCTTCCCCTTTTTATGAAGAGCAACACTGTTACAAAAGACACTTCAGCTTAAAATAAAAATTACTAAAAAAATAACTTTAGGGTTTTATAGCAGTTAGTTCCAAGATCTATAAATCGCTCAATTCCTTTTCGTTCTCACACTCTAACAGATAAAAGGTCAAAAAACAACAATACTAATACAAGTGGATCAATCCTTTTCTCACATTTGTAGGGCTTTTGTTTAAGAGGACAGATTTTCAGATGTTCAAATAACTTGAAACAGGTCCGCTGCCTCACCTTTACCCTCAGCTCTCCAGAATACCCTTTCAACTTTTCTCCCCTCTCTCACTCACCATACTGTCAGGCTCAAATAAACTTTAATTTTAGGGGACGGAGAAGAGAAGCCTGCTGTCTCACTTGCACTCACCCAAGTGATCTCATGTGCCGAGATGCCGCTACCTCCTGCCATGAGTGAGGAAAGGGGGCTCAGAGCGGTCACCCCAGTTGCTGACTCACTGGACAGGCGAGTAGGAAAGGAGCGCTGTGCTGCGACACTTACTCCGCAGGAGAGGGATTAGGCCTTCAAGAAATGATGCGTGCTGCCCAGGTCAGAGGGCACCGCAGCAGCGCAGGCAGGAGGTGACAGTAGCAGTGGGGGTCCAGGGCCCACACTTGTGCCACCAGCTCACCATGACACTCGTCCACAGATTCCCTCTAGGATCCAGGGCCTGGCGCAGAGCAGGGTCTCATGTGAAGGAGGAGAAGAGACGATTCCTTCGCAAATCCAGGATGGCTCAGAGCCACTCCACACGTGGTTAGCTCACCAGGAAAAGCATGCAGATTGCACCTCTGCTTTCCTGGTCCGCAGCGTAATCGTGGGAGGTAACAGATTAGGAAAGCAGGGGTTATTCCCAGAGACAGGCAACTAGAGTTCAGATGTACCAATGGATCCGATTTCTTCTTGAGAAAACAACAGGTGCATACGTCAGCATAACTTGAGGATCAACATAAGAGCAGTGAATTGAATATTTTTTATGAAACAGGCCAGGTCTTTCTCAATGTGCCTCCACCTTAGCATCTGACCTAGCTTCATTACACAACTGAACTCAGATGGCTCCAAACAACTTTTCAGTTCACAATGTGAAGTTTTAGCCTTGGGTCTCCTCTTTATTACAGGATGTAAGCAAAAAAGCATGATTGCTGCTCTGTGTACAGGGGCCACACAACTCCAGATTTGTGGCTACTTCAAAGGCTCCTGCGTGGTTGCAGCAAG